GTAACCGCCCTCGTTTTCCATGTCTAGGCTGTGAGGGACGGGGCTTTAAACGATGGCTTGGAACGGCCATGGAGGAGTGGGCTTGTTTCAGCTTCCAGAGCTTGCTTAGCAGTTTCTGCCGAGCTCTCTTGCTTTAGGCAGCACGAAGCCGTCCAATGCAGTGGTCGTTGCATGCGTAAGCAGGCTTTTTTATAAGGCTTATAGGTACATTTCACTCCACTGAAAACACAAAAGTGTGCTGTGTAGTGACAGGGAAACGAGAGTCTTCTCTACACCACACACTTCACAACACAAACTTCCCTACGCAAGACTGAACTAGATTGGAAAAGCAATTTAAAGCAATTTTGCCCGCTCTCCCCAAGATGTATGCTGCGTTACTGGTTTGGTTTTTTTTATTATTTTTTGCTGCTCAAGGTTGCTAGCAGAACACCAAAGCAACAGACTCGCGTGGCAACCAGACAAAACTTCTGCAGGGCTCCTATGAAGACCCACCCACACTGTGCCAGCAGAGCAGCAGCAGCAATGGGGCACTCGGGGAAGATAAAAGCCAAAACCACGTAAGAGCTGACTCATGAGCCATCCCTCCACAAATACCTACACAGCTACTTTTCCTTCCCAGCATGGAAGTAATTGTTAATGTTTCATCATCAAGGAAAAGCATGCACATTTCTTGCATAGAGACGCAACACTAGTGGAGTCCCTGCTCAGTAGGTCATTTCCCTAAGCCTGAGACCCACACCTAGCAAGTTAATAACCAAGGTTTGAAGTCCTTTGACAAAAACAATCCTAATATACAGGTTCTCATTTCAGAAAGAAAATATTTTAGTTCTTGTTATAATTTTTCAGATGTCTGTGGTTCAAAGGCAGGCACTAACTCACCCCCAAATCAGTGATGCTTCAGACAGATGTTGGCTAGGATTCAGCACTTGCAGCCCTCCCCTGCAGAGACACTAATAATTATTTCAGAATAAAAGGTAAATCTATAATGTGATTGAACCAAACTGACAAATTAGACTTTTGCATATTTCCCCGCAGCATGGGTCTCTGTGGCAAGCCATGCAGAGCGTATTTGCACGCAGAGCAACCAGGCAAATGCCAGAGCTCTTTCTCACATGCAACAGGAGCATTTAGGAGCTGTTTTGTCCAAAGCATTACTAAAGGTCTCTTTTCTGCTTGACATTTCATATCTGTCTTGTGGTGTGTGGAGTCAGTGAATGGATGTGATGGACAGCCAGGATGGGAAGCCCATTCTGAAGCCCAGCTCCTTTTTTGGCAGCGTAGGCAAACTTCACAGCTTCAGGAGAATCACAGTGACAACCTTGTAACCCTTCACCCCAACAGGACCAATACTCAGCTTGCCCTTGCCACACCAGCCAGCAGCCTATGGCAGACAGCTTCCAGATGGCCACAGCAACTCACCTTCCCCACACCCTGGCTCTGCAGGCTTGGCTCGGCTCCTCACACCGGGATGTGGCCCATCGGTCGTCACCCCCAAAATGCGGTGACATGCTCTCACTCCCCTGTGGTTCTCATCCTGTGCTACTTTTGTCACCCAGAAGAGAACTATGGAGGTGTTGTTTTGGATTAGGTACTTCAGCTCCGCTTACACCAATGTACAGAACTGTCTTTGGACAGCCTGTGGAAAAGGGTGTTACCTCAGGCAACTTGGAATAGGCCTCCTCCGAGCTGGATTTTATACAGGAAGTTTATAAACAATCCTTAAAACAGAGATCAAACCCGTTTTTATCTCCTATTTACTGTCCAGATCCTTCTCCAAACTGGTCAGCTTTCACAAAACGCTGTACAAAGAGCAGAGACATCAAACAGGATTTGAATTACAGCATGGTTGTCAGGAAGACTGGGTGCTGCAGCATCAAACATCCTGGCTTTAAATCCTTCAATTCCTCACTTGCCAGCACTACAGTGAGGGATGTGATCTATGGATCTAAATTGTAGCAAGTTGCTAATTTTCTTAATTCCATATGGAATCACAAACGTCAAACTGCTTATTCTTCCACCAGCCCAGAATGTTCCCGTGGTATATTTATAGCATGGGGAAATCACATCATTTAAAAATTTCCTCTTTATTCTCTCCTTCCTTAGGCTAAAAATGTCAGGGTTTTTTGGTTTTGTTTTTGTTTAAGTCAGAAAGAAGCCTGCCTTATGTGTGTTGATTTTGTGAATAAACATTTAAAACAGCAAGCAGAGAAACTCCAGAAGGGGGGAAAAAAAAGGGAAAAGGAGGAATGTTTTAGGAGCAGCTGTACGACGGCTCCCGCAGCTGCAGCCCTCTGCCTCTCATGGCTCTTCCTCGGAGTAGCGCCGGGCGCTTTCCAGGCAGTTATTTACTTTGCCTTAAACTCTTCCCACGTACTTACATTTAACCAAGCCCCCAAGCGGGGCCCTGGGCTGCCCCGGCGGCGGCTGGAGGCGGGGCCGGGCCCGGGCCGCCGCCT